CCTTGACAGGATTTTTCTAATCATAATGTTTAATATAGTTAATAACTTGAACAATCTTAAGACTTTTCTGATTAATATAATTCGAGCAATATCTCAACTTACACCACCTAACATACTAATTGAGTATTCTGCTCCTCACCCTAACTTCTACTAAAACACTTCAGTGGACATCAGGCCTAAGGACCAAAATTAATGTCTATATTTACACTGCGATTGGTAACACTATTAACGCAGTGGCGTATCTACGTAGCCGCAAGCAGTGGCGTGTTCTCTGACTCTTTTCATCCATCACCTGTTACAAATATCTTCAGACCATAAACTCCTGTTCTCTATCGCAGAATTGTCTACGATATGTGTTTAACCCTTCCGATTGATACCGACGATATGCTTTTGTTCTATTAATTTAAGACAAAGAAATATATCCAAGCTTCATCAGTAGATTTCAACAGTTTCAATTCAAGTGGATTAAAAACAACACCCTGTGGGACACCACTAACCTATTGACCTAAAATTCAATAACACGTATGTATTTCAAAGATTTGAAATCGCTTTTTTTTTTGCTGAGGCTAATTACTGACACGCTAGTAAAATTCATTGATATTCTTGTTCCTTAACCTTCTCTCTATTTGATACAGTCTGTCATACGCCTTTCAAAAATCACGCCACAACTTTAAGCATAAACATATAGGGCAGGCTACAGTTATATTGACTATCTATATCTAATACACAAATCTACCAAATTATGCACTAATTGCTATATCGCTGTATTCTTAGGAAAATTTGTTCATTATTATTACAAAAAATATTTCACTTCTGGCATGTAATGTTAAGCGGGAGATACGACAGAAATTGACTTTTAACTTTTATTACATGGTTACCCTAACACCTAGTATATAAAGAAATAAGTAATAGGTATTCTTGATTTATAAAAAGAATATAATTATAATAGTTATGGAAGAATTGACATGATTTAACTGTGTCATGTGCATATGCATCATAATACGATTGTGTATACCTAGTTAATTAAATACTATAAGTTTTAAAAACAGTGCCTTGCGTTACTCCTATAAGTCTAAATTGTGTGGCGTTGACTTATTTTTAACTTTGTTATTCGGAAATGGTTACATTGATGTGTCTTATTGTTTTCAAGATCTTCGTTACATTAACGACCTCATATTCAGTTCTGTCGTAATTCCCGCACCAATCAAAGATATTGCTAAAAATAACGAAACTGTCGTGATTTCATCTAATATAACAAGCTAAAAACCTGAACTATATAAAAAAAGAACTGTATTTGTCCAGGTATTACGGCATAGTTGTCCATAATATTTTTGTTTTCAGATAAATATATATACTACAGATAGACTTATTTACTTGTAAATCAGTTTATTCGTTTCGAAAGCACAACAAAGGCTTTCAAACATTGGTTACTTTCTGTAGAGCAACATTTCTTTGTGCAGAGTGCGTGTCAGCTATATTTTATTAGAATAATTATTAATGAATTACGATTAATTCAAGATAGTCTTCAAATATTTGCCATTCGATGATTTCAACTACTCGATAACCGAGATAAGTGGGATAAGTAATAAAAATAATCGGTTATTAACTTACACAAGTAGTGTTAACAGGTGATGGTTAAGTAAAAGTAACAAATGTTTAGAAAACCTTAAATGGCACACTATGAATCTAAATTACATACGAATATGTGGTCCAATAATTGATGATTCCCATTAAATAATTTTCCTTCCAAGAGATAGGCAATTTGTAACAAACCATTATGAAAATATATCATTTGATTATGCTCAAACTCATCTACGATTATTGAGCAAACGGTACACTAAATTCTGCTAAGGAAGTGCGCTATCCGTTAGAATAAACCAACTACTCATAAGATTTGCACCATATTGTTAAAAATAATTCATTGCAACTGTGGCAAGAATGAAAAAAATATTATAAAATCAACAGAATTAGATTATTAAGTACATTCAATAACAATTTTAAAATGAAATGTCCTATATTGACTCGCGCTGATTTGCGACAATCTGCCATAAAATTGAAATCCAAACACCTCTAGAAAACATTTTCAAAATGACAGTAAGGTAAGATAAGGCTCCCAATAATTTCAATGTTTGTTGCAAAACAGCGCTAGTTTAATCTGAACTACCCTCGTGTTAAAACAAAGGACTTAACAACATTGGGCAGTGCTAATTCTAGCCTACGTTTAACAAGAGTTATCGACAACCCTACAAAACAACTTGTATCACAACGTCTATTTGAAATTTTCTAAGTTTCAAAACGAGCTAAATGTATTTATATCAATGATGTTGTTATTAAAAAAAATAGACAATTGCTGTAAAAGTGAAACACTAAAATTGAGGACCAGGTATAACTAATAGCGAAACACCTTTATTCAAAATACCTTTTACGAATACTACTCAAGTAGTGTAGTAATTTTGATGATAATCTGTGGTAACACTAGTGTTTTTAATATCTTAACCAGCTGAATCTGTGTAACTGAGTAACTCTAATTACTACTAAATGGGGCTATTGATTAATTGACTATCTATTGCTTTTTAATCATAACATCAGTGATCTCCGAGATTCAAATTGATTCGGTCTACGTATTTGTCTAAAAATTATCTTTAAAAAGTTTTCAATTTGAATAAATATACACTTATTATACATAATCTGGGTGACTAGTTACAAAAATAAATAGATCATAGATTATAAATTTTGTAGTTATGCATTGACTACTAGCAGTGTACAGTTACAACTAAGAGCTTGAATCATTAAAAAAATTAGGTTGTCGATATTTACTAAAATATAATTAAAATATTACATAATTTCATTAAGCTAAATACTATTAATTGCAATTATTACATTCGAATATACAAAAATTATGAGGTAATACTAAAGCTAAACGCAACAATTTGTACATTATTTCATTAATTTGTTCTGTAATTCATGGATATATATATTATGGTAACGAAAATCTATTGGAAATAAAATGCACTAATAAATACCAGGAAATATTAAAATGTTCTTTTTAAATTATTGGTGAAAATAGTATTTCATTATATATATAACATTTAATGTGATTATTCATTGATCGATTCTCGATTGAACCACAAGAAACGATCGCCTGAGACATCTGTTCCTAGCAATATAAAAAATATTTAAAAACAATTAGCTTCAAATTCAATATTTTAGGCGTTTTAACGAGTTGTGACAATTTCCTACCATATTTAACTCTAATGACAACAAAAATCTAGACATAAAAGCGATAGTTCCGTGCGTTTCAATATTTCAATATAATAAGATGTTTTCTCGTTGCATACAATTTTGGTAAACTCTAAGGTCACGTTAATTAAATTATATTCTGTTTATTTGGTCCTTCGGATAATAAGCAAAACTAAACCGAACAAGCCAAAAGGATCACGACAGTAATCTGTACTTTCCTTCCTTTAACATAGAGGTCTTTCTTCAACGTTCCTTTCGACTGGACGGGTACTATAAATGGGGGCTAATATAACCCAACTCGATAGAGAAGTATTTGGTGCGCAAGCTATCACTTTACATTTAGATTTATAGAAAGCAGCTTCTTTAACGATTCGGGTTATATTACTTTAAACATTACCCGTGGACTTAAGTTAGTTTAGACATGGACATTGGATTTTGTGTATTGTCTTCAACTTGTTTCAACAAAAACAAAAGAAATTAAATAGATATTAAACTGGGTTTTTGTAGTTTTTAAAAGCCGAAACTAAGTTGAAAACAATATATCATACCACATTTAATTATTATCAAAAGTTTCAACATTGACATTTAATGAATGGCAAGTTTCATTTCACAAGTAAAATCGATTGGCAAACATCCATAAATTTTAATCGAGTACAGGCATCACTATAATTTATTTTGGACTGTAAATCACACAGTCAATGTTTGACTAGATGCGATTCCATTACGCATATTATGTTTAAAATATAATGCATTTTATAAAATATTATTACAAAAGTGTCACTTGTAAAGGAAGTCCAAGGATTGTCTCGAATACACAATTAGGAATGTGTCTATATTCAACGGGGAGATCCAAAAGAGATGCATCTTAAGTTTAGTTTTGTCTTTTTAGTGTAGTTGAGACAGTGGATAAATAAAATGTATATTTGAGCGATGAATTGAGTGATAAATATTATCAATTGCGGATCAACATCGTTCCGTTTATTCTACTTTCACTTAATTTAATGACTCACCATCACTCTTGCTTCATTTAATTACCGATACCTGTCAAAGTGAAATAAAAGGTTAGATATTATTAATTAGTAAAAACTTTTTTCAGACAATCCATACTGACATTATAAATGCAAAAGTGTGTTTGTCTGTCTGTTATCTCTTTACGCCTAAACTGCTCAACCGATTTAGATGATTTTTTTATAGAGATAGTTCGAATCCCGGAAAAGGGCATAGGGTAGTTTTTGGGGTGAAAAGGGGGATGGAAGTTTGAATGGGAATACAATAACCGCTTAACCAATTTCAGTGGAATTTGGAATAGGACATAGGCTTTTACTTATATACATACTTTTTACCGCGGTAACCAAGATACACGCGGGTGGAGCCGCGGGCAAAAGCTAGTGGTTGATAATCCCGGCTTAGTTTCCTGCTGCTTACTTTACACTAGAGGAAAGTATCTGTGCTACATTTCGCTTTCGTTGTGTATTGTGATGTTACAATGCAAACATTTAGTACTGCTTAAGAAACTTTTACAAAATTAGCTTTCGCATTCTCATCTCGCATAAAAGTTATTTTAACTCTGAAAATTAAAAGTAACAAACTCATTCTTTCATAGTTAATAATATTAGTTAGGATTGAATTATTATTAGAAAGATTCAATTTAAAAAAACATGAAAATTTCTCGAGGAGCTATTTATAATTTAGTATATCTCGGTAATATAACTTATCTAAGGCAATAATCTTAGTTTAGTAATAAATACCTGTATAAGTGTTCATAGTCCAAGGTCTCCGTACTGCACAGACCACTTTTCGTACGCAGCGAGACTATGGGGAGAAACCGAGGGTCTGATCCTCTTAAGCGCATCTATGAAGTCCTGATACGTGATGCTGCGTACCAGCGACAGGTCCAGGCACTTCACCTCTTCCGGGTCAAGTTCTGTGGAAGGTCAACGTTGGGATAAGAATATCGACCGTTTCTAATACAGTCTTACGTTAATAAACAACTAATACGATACACGCGATGGAAAGCGTAACCAGTGCATTTAAAATGGGTAGGCTTTAAGGCGGTTATCCCTCTGAGACAGAAATACATTAAATTATATCCATATACGTATGTAAGTATATATGTAGATGAAACAAGACTCCAAAAAGAAATGCATTTGAACTCTGAGTTATATATTTTTGTAAATACACAAATATCTATGTAATATAATACACACGAGCAAAAACTTAAAAACCGTTTTTTTATGTTGTTTAACCGATTTCCTTAATATTTTTTTTATTATATAGTTATTAACAAGTTTAAGTGATAACATTAACAACTGGGTCAAATATTTTCTTCGTATTTATATTTATATGGAAACGACTACCTATCATGTTATGGATTTAAATAATTTAACGGTCCAGAACCAAAGCTTATTACGTATTTGTGCACTAGCTTCCATGTATGAGACAAGTAAATAAATAAATAAAAGCCAGAAAAAAGTATACTCATTGCTGTTTTCAATATTCATTTTTATTATTAAGTCAAATATTAAAAATAAATGTTTTTGGAAATAATTATGTATGACATCACAACTTTATCAGGCAATTTTTCAACATAAATTTCCATTTGACGTTTAATAATAGTTAAAGGCTTGAGGAAACACGACGTAGTATGTTTTTATTCTTTTATACTGTTGATGATTAGAGGGTTAGATATCCCGGCTAAAGCCAGATCAGTAAAAGATTTTTCTATTTTGTCTTTCTCCCTGTACTGTTTGTGGAGAAAAGGCATGCACGTGAACGCAAAACTACACGATGAGCAGAGGGCCTAGTGTGAATTCATTTCCTTGTTACTTATATATATATATGTATGTGTTCAGTGTGTACAATAAAGAATAAGTAAATACAAAAAAAAGCATTTCATATCAACTCGCTCTCGACGGCGAGCGGTGAGCGAGATTTGTGAAATTTCATTGCGGGCCAATCGTAACGCCGAACGCGGTTACCGTGATGCCCGAGTTGATGTGAAATAAACTCAGACTAGGCCCTCAGCTGTTTAGTTTACGCATTTTTTATATTATAGGTTCAAAATTGTAAAGGATAAAAGCAACCACGATAAATTAGTCCTTAGTTTACTAATGATTAATGATACTAAAAGCCGCTCTTATGAAATGACTTACGAAAGTCATAGCCTAAACGCCCACATAGCTGTTGTTTTATCAGGCCGAATCAAACATATCTATAATTATATTCATAGAAGCGAAAGTAATTTTTTGTGTTTCACTAATGAGTTCTATGAATTACATTGATATTGTGTTATTTGCAATAAATAGTATAAGATTTTATAACGATTACAATCGACAACATTGGAATAAAAACTGTCGTGAGTTGTATTCATATTTATTAAAGATACATGGTTTTAATAATATAATATAATAATATACCTCACACATTTCACACACGGCCGTCTGATCCCAAACTAGGCAGAGCCTGTGCTATGGTGATCAGACTGCTGATAAACATACTTATATATTTTTAAATACATACATATCATAGATAAATTACATCCAGACACAGAACAAATGATCATGCTCATCACACAATATTTGTCCTGGGTGGGAATCGAACCCACGACCTCCGGCTTAGCAGTCAGGGGCACTAACCACTCGACCAACAGGCCCGTCCGTAATGACATGTGTATTTCAAGGATACCCACCCTAGTAGTTCCCGGCTCGACGGGGGTTCTTTTTTAAGGAATTGTGACAATTCCCTCTGGAATGTATATGTATACTTGCATGTCGTTGAAAAAATTGGTGTATTGTTATGCCGAAAATCACAATGTTTCAGTATTTTCAGAATATGATGTAATGTTTTTATGAATGGCTATAAGTTATAACCATTTTAATTTTAAAATATATTAAAAATAATTATGTTCTACACACTTTTAAATCTACTCAATAAATAATGTCGCTGAATAAACATTCTTTTAAATTAGTTAATAAATACAAAGCAATAAAAAATAAACGCTATTCGTAGCAATTACCTTTTTACAAAATCAAGATGTATAAATTACTGACTGATTAAATATCCACACATTATATATTTTTTTAATGAACCTACACTTAAACAAAATTATTGTTCTGTTTTCAAATATTCCAATTTTTTTTTTACCAATTGTAATATTACGTTATGATATACTGTTGCAGTTTTAGAAGTAAAGATCAGAAGGAAATCTCATTATAAAAACTCGGTCGAAATTCCGTTTCGATCTACTCTCGATCTCATAAAAGGTATTTTCGTAGTAAAATATTATGGAGTATTTCTCTTTCGGCACCATTTTTTCAGCACCCAAGCTATTCCAATAGATATATTAGTGATGCATTTTGCACACATTTATCAAATTTTATTCCTAATTCAGTACCTATGGCGTGCGGTAGTTTTTAGTGTTTGGATGTGTAATACATGTTAAGTATTGATTACAGATTTATATCGACAAGTTTTATGTCAAAGAACTTTGTGTCAAAATCTACGTCACTAGAAACTGCCGCAGGTGGTGAATGAGGATCTTTTTTTTTTTCTGTTCCACATTGGGCACGAAGCTAATATTGGTGCCTATATATAATACCTATTGATGCTGCACGTGGAATAGCTTAGGTGCTCAGCCCATAGGTACTAAATTGGTGCCGAAAGAGGAATACTCTGGTATTACACCTTAAACGTTGGCTGTTATGTGATTATATGACCGAAAGTTGAATCGGTAATCTGCTAGTCTTAGCTATTTTATAGAAAATACCTTTTATGACATTTGTGAGATCGAGAGTAGATCGAAATGTATTTTTATTACGAGAATTGGCCTTCAGGCATTTAAGAGTTAAATGGTACGAATTAGTACCTGCTGCTTGTTAATGGTTTTATAGTGAAATTTATTATTAGTATTATTATTCAAAACAAAACATCTGGTCCAAATATTCACAGTAATGTTTTGTTGCTAAATAAATCTAAATCGTGTTGTAACATTTTATATTACGAAATATGTTTTCGGGCTACTTTTTTCGAACCGGCTATCGTCTCTGTTTCTGGGTCACATAATATAGTGGGTGGATTAGTTATTGTATTCACTTCATGACACGTGCTTTAAAAATATGATAATATATTTACGCTGAATTGAATTCGTGTAATTTAAAAAAAAAACACGTTACGTTACTCTGTTACGGAACAGGCCTGTTGTCAGCAATGTCTACCCAGATTCAATATAATATTAAATATAACATGGTCTTGATGTAGGTATGTAATTTTTTAACAAGAAATTGTTCCGTAATACGTAAAACATGAAATAGTTATTTGTAGTGTTGTTTGTCCATAATGAATTATTGAAAAACAACAACATTAATGTTCCATCAAAGATTGGGAAAAAATGTGTCTATTTTTTTATTGGTATCACTTAAAGTGAATATCGGTTGACACACAATACTGGGTCATAGGGAATTTCATGTGTGACAAAGACAGGGAACTACGGAGTAACAACTACTCCCGTAACAAAAGTTCTAGCGCCGATTAGTATATATACATTTAGTTTATGTACTATATATACACATTTAGTATATATAATATATATATTCCAGCATCATCAGGAGATCATTCTTTGTGCAGAAGAGATACAGTACCCACAAATATGAAAAAAATTACTGATCTGTTGCCTATACCTGTTTTGTAAACCTACAAAGACTAGCTAACCCGACAAACAGTATCTTGTCGTTTTTCAATTTTTGTTTGTAATGTTTATAAATTCAATAAAAAGAAACTCTGTTTCCCCTAAAACTTTATTTTTTGACAGGAAACCTCTAAATTATTTCTATGTCTGAAACCTAACTGCTACTATACTGGTCATTTAAAAAATAAAGGCTTAGGAACGAAGTTCGGAGGGCTTTAGATTTATAAAATCAAAAGCAATTTTGATATTTTTAGTGCTGCACTGACCCCGTATAGGTCCGAGCGCGGCGTCCCTGCAGAGCGCGGCGAGGTCGCTGCCACTGTACCCGTCGGTGAGCGCGGCGAGGCGCGCCAGCTCGTCGTCGATGAGCGAGGCGGCCGCGGCCCCGCGCGCCAGCATGCCGCGCACTAACGACATGCGCGTGCGCATGTCCGGCAACGACACGTACACGCGCTTCGGGAACCGCCTGTCGGGTATAAAATAAGTCTTACTGGTTTCCTATTTAAAATTGTAACAGTTTACAATCTGCAATTTATAATAATTATATGACTTCAATGTAATAGTATTTTTATAAATATATCAATCTATGAACAACATGATATTATAAATATATGAACAAGAAATTACATAATAATTAATATTTTAAAACAAAAAAAAAACCGATATAATAAAAAGTGATATATGTAACGTAAGAGCAATTTTCTCAGTTTCTAAAATTTTCTTTTTTTGCCTGTGACAGATAAGTATATATCTATAAAATCTTCCAGTATATACATCGCCGTATACTTATTGTTAAGTGAACCGCGTGAATTAAACAAAATTAATTACCATGTTTAATAATAAAAAAGATACGCGTGAAAACAAATTGTTCAATTAAAACTGCATACACCTCTTAATTTGGCGTCAATGACCCTGTGTGAACAGTAAATAGCAATAAAACATTGTTCCAAATTATTTCAAGTTAAATTGTTCAACATCGTAGCCATAAAATCGTTGAGAGATATTCTCGTCGTTTCATTGTGCTATTGACTCTAGTTTGTAGAAATCGCAAGTCGTAAAATTCATCTTAAACACATCTACGTGAAAATTTAGTTGTTGTTACCTAAGACTTCGAGATATTACATTTATTTTTTATTATTGTATGTATATAGTTTAGTATTGTATTACGTAGCGCAGAACTGAAAGTAAATCCCAGAACTTAAGTCATCTTATGTTACTAATCACACGAGAGAAGATAGACTTACCACTTGTTAGAAGTCGGTTAAAAAAGCTTTCATGATCTAGGTTTAAATGTATAATTTTAAAATTTAGGAATATAAATCGATGAAAACAGTACGATAATGAGTTCGAATCTTTTGGAGTTTATTATGTTTGGACAGACAAATATTATCAATAGAGTAAGCTTAGATTTTTATATGTAATCTAGATTTAAGTTAGTTAGTTTAAGTAGTTTTAGGTTCAATCTAGTTTTTGTATTAATTTACTCGTAATATTGTAACTTCAGGTGTAAGTGAGGTAAATGTTTTTTGTACGCATACCAGGTATTGTATTCTATGTAAATTATTTATGAGAATGTAGTGTACGTATGATGTTGGTAAATTAAATAAATAAACATCGTGGCAAACTTTACTATACACCTAATGATGAAAGGAAACCCTCAAATTCTTTTACACATAAAACAAAAGCATGAAATGAATGATAAAACCTGTACCTGAGTGCAGCCTCGTCGAGTTCCTGAGGCCTGTTGGTGGCTGCCATGACTATGAGTCTGTCCGCTCCAGCAGCGGGTAGTCCATCAAATTCTACTAGAAATTCTGTTTTCAGTCTTCTAGAAGCTTCGTGTTCTCCTGAAGATCTCTCGCAAAGAAGAGAGTCTACTTCGTCCACAAATATTATTGAAGGCTGTGGGAAAAAGAAATAAAATTAATTAAGACTAGTTATATACAATTGCTTGTAATGATATGGTATGGTGCATAAATGTACTAAACCAGGGAAAAACCTTTTTAATCATTGGAAAACCATCTTACGGGATTAAAGATGAGAACCCGTGAAAATACGAATTTAGAAATTTCGGGATGAATTCGGATATTGCTTTTCGCACTATCTCCGATTTCTGATTCGTTATTACGGATTTGGAAGGCTGACTGACTGAATTCGTATATTGTTTACGCACACGTGACAAGGTACACCTTATCATGTACTAACTTGTTACGGGTATAGATTGTATCCTAATCCTTTAGGGTTATAATCTCTTGCAGAATGAAATTTCATTCTTAATGTTGCATATCGATAATGTATACGTTATGATACATTTATAGGTAATATTGAACGTTATTCAACTATAAATTTTTATACCTGAATCAGTCAGTTAATGGCAATTATATTCTTTATAGACATTTTATGTTTTAACGCAGTATATTTTTATAGCGAGGAAGTCATATTTATCGTTCATATCCTGTATTATATCTATACTGTTTCAATGTACTCTTTTCTCGTTATTGTTGGTAAAGTATACTTTTTAAAACCGACTCTGAATGTTTCTTAACTTAGTTAGAAATTTCGTTGATTGAAAAAAGTCATTTTCAAATTGGAGACAATGCAAACCGACCACAAGTTGGAAATGTGGCCAGGAACAAGGGTCAGAAGAAGTACACGATGTTGGGCCAGGTGAGGGGTCTTCTCCCTGGTGGTCGGGCGCATTGAGGCGCTGGGCTTACGGGTGGCCCTAGATAAGACGGAGGCCCTGTTATTTCATGGGCCCCGTCGTGGTCCATCCCCTGGCGCCTCAATCGTGGTCAACTCGGTCCTCGTACCGGTTCGGGCCCAGATGAAATATCTGGGCCTGATCCTCGACGGGAGGTGGCTCTTCGACGAGCACTTCCGACAGCTTGCTCCAAAGCTGGTCGGCGCTGCGTCTGCCCTAGGGCGACTTTTGCCCAATTTGGGTGGACCCAGCGTCGCGACAAGACGGCTGTACACGGGGGTTGTCCGGTCAATGGCACTATACGGTGCACCGGTGTGGGCGGCGGCTCTGACCGCCCAGAATAGGGCACGCCTCTGGCGCCCTCAGAGGGTAATGGCGGTCAGAGCCATACGCGGTTACCGCACCGTTTCGACGGAGGTGGCGTGCGCGTTGGCCGGAACTCCCCCGTGGGATTTGGAGGCGGAAGTGCTCGCCGAGGTTTATCGGCGAATGGCTGACTCCCGTGCGTAGAGCGGATTTCGCCCTCCGCCCGAAGACGTGCGCGAGTGGCGCGAAGCCGCTCGCCGAGCCACGATGGCTCGTTGGTCGTTCCGGCTGGAGACTCCACGCGCTGGCTTCGCCGCCGTGGAGGCTCTCCAGCCGGTCATCGCCGAGTGGGCAGGGCGGCAGCACGGGACCCTTACCTTCCGGCTGATGCAGGTGCTTTCCGGGCACGGTTGCTTCGGAAAGTACCTGCACTCGGTCGCTAGGAGGGAACTGAGTCCCGCCTGCCACCACTGCGACTGCAGTGAGGACTCGGCCCAGCACACGTTGGCGGTCTGCCCCGCATGGGCGACGCAGCGCCGGGCCCTCACTGCAGTCATCGGAGTGGATCTCTCGCTACCGGCCGTAGTACGCTCCATGGCCGGTAGCGACAGTTTTAGACGGGTTTCCCCTCCACCCGCATTAGTTTGGCCAGCCGCGAGGGGGCGGCGTCCGCGTGTGCCGGACGTCGCCTAAAGAGAGGAAAATTTTGAGACGGAGCCCGCACCAGGAGCGGGCTGGCGCTAGGAGGGATCCGGATGTCTTAATAACAGCTGTTAACGGATCCCTCCTGTTACAGGCGCAGAGTGGCACACCGTGTGGTTTTAGTCGGTCCGAGTCCGACACACCACCCCGCCGTAAACCCCGGTGGGGTGACGGTCCGAGGGGATTTCCACACGTTAAAAAAAAAAAGAAAAAAGGTGAGGGGTCTTCCACAATACGCATTCAACATTTATTAATTTACGTTGAACGTGTGTGTATGGGTCAAAAAATGAAAATTATGTATCAAATTTTAACTCCATTGCTTAAATATGTTCGGAACAAATTTGCTATAACAGATGGGCAGGAGATATGTGATAAAAGTTATTCTATCGAGTTTGTTTTTCATTTGTATGTACTGTAACCATGAAACAAGTTTTGTATTAAAGATAATTTCCAGTTTTTATATGTACGTAGCAAAGCGACACGTAACGGGCGTGTTATCTTTGAATTGCCTGACGTTTCGATCAGGTTGCACTGGCCGCGGTAAATTCGATAAGGTAATGTTTAATACTATGATATGTGTATTATTATTAATTTATTTATATATTAACAGTAGCACATTTAATATTTTAGTAGGTAATCGGTATATCTATTAACGATAAACGGTTTACAACTCCTGACACCGTCGCGGTTGGATGTTTTACTTCTTGAAAATGGGCCCCATCAGGTCCGAAACTAGTCGCTTATCCTCGAAATACAGATGTGAATAAAACAGTAAGCACCGTAAATCTTTATTAGATATACAACTGACGGACGTTTCTATTCTAATCGATATAACGTTCGGTTAAGACAGTAACATTGGTCTTAAGAATCTAATCGCGTGTGGTATTGCTGTTTCAAACCGACCTCTTCAGCACCCGACACAACCAGTGTCAAGACAGTATGTCATGGCCACAGAAACCGATTAGAAATGCATCTACTTTTACCAACGCACAACCAATCGTATATATTAGAGTAGAAAGTGATATTTCTTTTATCTGTGCCAATAGCGCGTTTCTGTCAATAGACCTATTAAAATTTATAAGAGATTATTTGTGATGTTTGAAAGTGTATTTTATTCGATTAGGTTTTTATTATATTCGGAGTACGCTTTCGAAAGTGGTTCAGCGACACGATAAACGAGGTACCTAACGACACGACATACCGTTGGAAAGATAAGGACACAACGAGTTAATATACTTAAATTGTTTATTGTAAAATGACTTAGGAAATTAACAATTATTTTTTATATACAAGCCGTGCCCGACTAAGGGAGCAAACTACGCAGTACGATATAGTACCGCAAAGAGAAAGAAAACTTGACACAAACCTTATACCAACCCGTCTGGCCAGTCTTGTATAGTAGGCCAATACGTCCTTTCTAAGGAGAGGCCTTTGTCCAGCAATCGACTATTAAAAGCTGTTGACGTGAAGCTGTTCTCTGCAGTTTTGTTCATGTTCATCATAATCACTCTCATTTCCAGTCACAGGTATGCGGTTTTGACCGGCACGAGTTATTTGCTTCGATTACCTAATTCATCTGTTAACTTAGGCAATATTCCTTGGCTATCCTTGTCTTCTTTTACCATCTAGTTTTACTTTAAATATATGATTACGTCCGTGTGGTATCGGATTAAAAATACCGAGTGTCACCACCCCTAGTCATCCCATGGGTGTCCTAAGAGTCGACTAAAGCAAAGCAAAGCAAACCACGCAGGCCAACAGCAATGCAAAGAGAAGGAAAACTTGACACAAACCCTACATCGACCCATCTGGTCAGTGTGGCATAGTAGGCCAAAATGTCCTTTCTAAAAAGAGGTCAATATCCAGCAGTGGAAGTATTAAAGGTTGTGAATGATTATGTTGATCATGCTACGATTACGAATACTAACGATTTTCCCGCGTTTTATATTATTTATTTATTTAAAACTTAATGCACAGGTACATAGGCGGATTTAATGCCATGGGGCATTCTCTCCCAGTCAACCTTCAGGTGATGTAGAAATATGATTATCACGTAGCCTGGACGGAGGAACCTAGCAGAGATAGATAGCAAACTAGCAGATGGGTCAACTGATGGTTAGTGAGTACTGCTACCCATGAACACATACAGCTCAAGAGACAAAATTGTGGCAATCTTTTAGTGCCCTTCCCCACAGAACAGGGGTTGAGCTCGAGTAACCACACGCATTCGATGAAAAGCAAACATCAAAAATAAAAGAATCAAATTATAATAAGCAAAAAAGGGTTTATAATACACCTGCGTATTTGTTCCCCTTCCCTTCTCTTTGGGTATATTGTCATAAATATGTATGTTTATTAAGACTAGCTGACTCGCATGACTTCGTTCGCGTCTTTCAAAAGGCACAAATTTGCCCCGTTTTTTAATTAAAACTTAAAATATTGTAATAGATTGACTAGAGATTCTATCCCTTCCATGTTCTCCACAACGATCTGAAAGGTCTGACATTACACTGAAAAAGCATAACTGTCAATTTTGCAGATCTGAATACAGGCGAAATGTATAGTCCGGCCATTAGCAGAGACATTCTGAAATTGGAGTCGCGCCAAATACATGGAATACGATATCTCGTTGTCTTGAAATGGAAGATTTGGCTCGAAACCCAGTTGGTGACAGTACTTGTACCGTAAAGCACATGGTTATTAGCCATGTTCTAAATTAAGGTTGATACTTTAACAGATGACGCTGCGGCTATTAATTAAATGTTTGATGGTGTTGTTTTTCCCAAAACATATGAAATAAGTTCACTAGTGATGTGATCTGTCGCTGATATGTGAAAGGACCGATGTCTAATGAGATTCGTATTCAGTGCAAAAATAGTAACTATTAAATTATGTGTCAGAAGTTTCGGAAAAATCATAGCGTGTTTTACTTTTAACCAACTACAAAAATGACAAAAAACAATTAGAATAGGACCATCCAAATGTAAAGTATACCCTCCTAATTAAACAAGTAATCCCAAATCATATACCTATAAATACAAAAATGACGGAGGTCTGAAGTACCAACCATAAAAAAACCCAATTGGGGACCTCCGTTTTTTTAAGTGTCATAAACAGACATTTATTAGGTCATATTGTCCTAATATTCTTTTTTCATAAAGAAAACTCAAGTTGATGTTGAAAACTGTGTCTTTTTCAGTGTGTAACCATACCTGCAATTCTCTTGCTACTTGGAAAAGAGCTCGAACCATCTTCTCCCCTTCTCCAACGTACTTGCTCGTGAGCGTCGCCGCCGATATTGAGAAGAATGTCGCCGAGCACTCCGCTGCGACACACCTCGCTAATAAAGTTTTACCTGCACACAAAAATGTTCACCATTAATTTGTCTCCTTTCTAAGGGAAGCCTATGTCCGGCAGAGGTCTATTAAAGGCTATTAAGTGTTGAATACTTGATGATTATACTTGGTTTCGTTTAGAATTTTGACTATTTAGCTATTTAAAAGCACCGATTCTAAGGAAATGTTTTAATTTTCTACAACGTATATTAAATGACACAGGATCCTTGTCATACCTGTTTTCATCTAGTCTTCTAGGACTGCTGAGAACTATAGTATTCTTCGCCCAGTGATTATAATTGGATTATTATTAAACAAATGATTAAAAGGTGAATTTTAATGTACGAGTATCTCGTATCTCTCTTTCATCCGTGCATTATGCATTTGAAACTAAATACAGTTACACACAAAATCCCCGCTGGGGACTAGGAACAAATGCTTTTTTTTTTTTTTATTATTATTATTGTTACTACTGCTAAAATTACTGTAAACTAACAAAAGAAAGAAAAAAGTGTACTAAAGTAGAAGAGAAATACTGACGTGTTTTTTATAGCTCCATTCATCAATTGATTATCTAAAATGTTTTTCATGAAATATATTCATTTTAAAACTCATGTTCATTTGTATTCATTTTACGACCATACACAATTGCACAATCACCATTATTTAACAAAAAACTACAATATTCTTTAACCGGAATGCTCATACAACAAACATTCATTGATAAAAAACGGAAATTATATGTGTGAAATACCAGTACCTACCAAATATTTATCCTTGAAAATATGACTCGTTACTTATATTTGACTTTAAAAATCATTATTTTAATTTTACCTACATTTCAGTGTGTTAATTGAATGTGAGAAACATCGATTATATTGACGATGTTGCTAGCATGCAAAAAATCCATTATCTTATCCTGCATAAAGTTCGCTAATTGGTTTAAAAACTTATTTTTAACCGACTTCAAAAAAACAAAAGAGGAGTTTATCAATTCCTCTGTATTGTTTTTTTTATTATTTTAAGACAAACAAAATAACAATTTGTGTGACGTGTATTTGTCAATGCTTGCAAATATTAAAACACACACAGATTATCACCTATTTAAAAATGATGGCTGCTAACCTTCAAAAACACTTATTAATTATACTCTTATTATGTTAATACCATCTTATGTTAAAAACAATAAGTAATATTTTTTGTGTTTTTTGTGTTAAAGAAACAACAAATAAATTATTTTTAGGGTATGCGTTTGCCACGTTTCGCCTTGTATTCACAGTTGAGCAATGTAGCTGGGGTGTGTGGGTAATGGACATTCAATGACGAGTTCACGACGCGGTAACAATTTTTAAGCTACTAGCTTTTGCTAAGTCTAGGAAAAAGGCCCTAATGTAGCTGTTTGTCAATGGTAAAAGAATTTTTAAAATCGGTTTAGTGGTTTAGGCGTAAAAGCGTAACAAACAAACTCATTTTAACATTTATTATATACTTATTATATATCCGCCCCGGCTTTGCACGGGTGCAATTAGATACCTAATAGTGTAAGTGTGGAGTAATTAATTTTACTATTATTATGATGACTATACTACAGGAAATCTTTATTTGCAATATTTATAGGACCGCTCCTCTACTGCCGGCCGCTTTCACCGGGGTAGGACTTACGGCCCGACAAGGCGACGGCCGCTTTGCCCCCGCATTTTAAATCGATTTTTATTTAGATCGATCCATCAAGGATCGATCTACATTATATGCAAAACGTACCTAACGTATTTCATATTTTTTATAAACATTGCATATTTTTATACTATGTAAAGAAGTATAGATATACCAATATCTTATACATATAAAATTACTCACCCTGACTGATTCATCAACGCAGAGCCTAAACCGCTGGGCCAACAAACTTGAAATTTTGGCAGCTTATTCTTTTAGGGTGTAAGCACCCACTAAGAAAGGATTTTTAGAAATTTTACCTCTAAGGGGGTAAAATAAGGGATGAAAGGTTATATTGATATTTTGCTTATTTTTCGAAGTTAGAAACACGGAATAAGAAATAATTACGGGAGCAAAGCCGTTGGCTTGGTATATTACTGTGTGTATGTGAATTACAGTTATAAGTACAAGTTTAAATTTAAAAATATTTCGTTACCATTTCCTGGAGGTCCAAAAAGCAGCAGTCCTTTAGCAGGAGACCTCAGACCAGTGAAGAGTTCAGGCCTCAGTGACGGCAGAACGACCATCTCTTTTAAAGCTTGTTTCGCCGCCTAAGACAAATAAAAACAAAAGTGTTGCACCATTAATTACATATATTTTTTATATTTGCTTTTTACACATAACAATAGTATAAAATAAATCCTTTTTAAAAAACGTTGAACCGACTTCAAACAACAATAACAAAGCACTAAAACCTAGCAGCAATCGCGGTTGATTTGCTGTCATTTTTTGAAGAGTACCGTGCTCTGTCTCCGAAGCTCATGATCAGACCTATATGAAATTTAAATGGGACCATTTCGGAATAAACTCTTTTCAAACAAAAAAAGAATTTTGAAAATCCGTTTATATATGACGGAGCTATGCTAGAACATACATAAAATAACATCCGAATTAATAAACTCCTCCTTTTTAGAGTCGATTAAAACATGAATACTAAATGTTGTGGTTTTAACCGGTTTGATTTAACGTTCATAGCACAAAGATTTGCAAGAAAATAATTTACTGTATATCTTAGAGCCTTGGTCTAGTAAATACAAGTAATAATCCAAAAGGATGGTAATTTGTAAACACGTAACTTTTTGGTTTATAGAAGGTGAGGGAAAAATGAAACAGACACCGTTTTTTTTTATATACATCTACATTATGTTACTAATTGTTTCAGAACTACATAAAAGTAAAGCTTTTTTTATTACCTAACTAGATAAAAATTACATTCTAGCGTATTATAAAGTTAATTATATTTCAGTTAGAGGTAGATAGTTCACAAACTCGTCGAGTTAACAAAGCAGTGGGTATGTTCGAGAATGTTGTTGAAACGTCAGGAATTCATTCATAAACGGGCCTCAATGACCTTCATCTAACATCCTCTGGAATACGACGCCGTGACGTGAGAACATTGTTAATTTATTTTTTGCCTTTATATTATAATACGACTGTTTATCGTTATACCATCTAAAACTTCGTAAGGTCTGTTTAATTTACTCTTGCTTATAGCAATTAAAGTTGCTTGTATGACACAGGAACACTCACTAAAAGTAAGCTAAGTAATTTAAGACTTTTTGCAATAAGCCAAAATTCCTAATAAAGGCTGTCAATCCATAACATGATACGTATTCTGGCAATATTTATAATGATCACGACAAAGCGACATTTCTAAGCAATTGATACCTGGCCAATGATAAACTGAAGTCCCATAACAGTTTTGATTAAAATTGTGTTGGAAGGTTTCAGGAATTGTTTTCGATTAGTAGTAGTAGTAGTTTCAATAGAGTTGCTAATCTTTGTTTTTTCTTGAAAAAATTCTCGATTAGTCAGGATAAACATGTAATATATTAAATCTGTACCTCAAACCAACTCCGACCTTATTGCTACTTCTACTATACGATTCTAAGTTATTTATCCAATCAAACTAAAAGAAGAAAACAGAATGCAAAGAGTTATGTAGTTGTAGCGTTGAAACCAGGTTTAAGGAAGATTTGCTTCTCAGTAATAGTCTGGAAATTTCTGGAAACGTGCCCAATAGGCGGTAGCACTCTTGCATCCAATTACTTGAGGCCAAATATAGCTCGCAAAATGTGGTTATTTAATCAATCCAATCCATCTATATATGCTCACATCTAAATTGCCGAGAACACAGAGGTATAATAAACGAAGCCATTTGCCGCCTAAAAAAATTAGTCCCACTTACGTAATACGGGGCAAGCCGTGTTTGGAATTAGATAGCAAAATTAGGACTATACTATACATATATGTAAGGGACGTCGTAACGAATACTGAGGTAGTGTCTTCAGTAGACTTGCAACGAATATTCGGTTACTATTCAGTATTCGGCCTATTCGGCTGCTTTTATTATATTCGGCCGAATACCGAATAATTAAATAATATATTTTGTCATTGAGAAATAATTGGTAAAATGAAAAATTAAAATCGATTGATTACGTATATATTCATATTTTCATTTCTGTTATAATCATTTAAGTAGTCATTGGTGCATAACACAGGTACATAATCATCTTCTGAATTGGAAAAATGGAGGATTCTATGTATTTGAATTATTGTGGTAATCAAAATTTAGAAGGGTAAGGTTCTCATTTCTTTTATAATCATTTATTAAGTAGTCATTGGTACATAAAACAGGTACATAATTTAATTCACGTCTGTACAAGTTTTTGGCGCTAAAATCCAGCCGAATACTTTTGCCTAATATTCGGCTATTCGGTCAGGGGCCTCGCCGAATATTCGGTATTCGGTATACTGCCGAATATACTATTCGTTGCAAGTCTAGTCTTCAGTGTATCATTCTGAGCCGAAAATCATTGGAATTTTCTGCCGGAACGTTTTATGCAATCAGCTGTCAAAGGATAAGGTCATTCATCGTAAGTATCGCACAAAAGTAATAACTACTTTTGTATTCCGTGCAAAAAGTCTACGCACACTTACACAAGTTGGCGGCGCGCTTCGGTCGTTTTATTTTATTTATTTTGAATCGTCAACAAACGATACACATTTCTATAACAATTAAAAAAATTACAAAAACATGCCTTTTGCTCATTCGATATATGCAATTAAGTTTGATTAATTACATTGCAGTTTTTGACCGTATGCGTATATTTATTTCAAAAAGTCGGGTAAATGTTCTGTTTACTGTAATATCACTTTTCACAAAAAAAAAATATAAAATTATAAATAATCACGAGTTAACAAGTTGAAGTTATTTAGAGTAAACATTAAGATTATAAAAGTTTTACTTAACTTACTATCGGTATATATAAAAAGGGTAAGTTGGTTTGTGTACGCTTCAAAAACTTAAAAAATTCTGCATCGATTAAATGATTTTAACACATCAATCCTTAATGTGTTTGTTTAAAATTAAGAGTGCCAATGACTGATGGGGTGCCAACAATAGTACAGCCTACCCTACTATAAAAATATATCTATCAATCGGGAATAAATGTAGATGTTAATATATAATAAATAACAAGTCGCAAGAAGCCATTTGAGGCGGGCCACACAGAAGCGGTTGTTGTGCCGAATCTTGGAGGACACCTATGTCCAGCAGGTCTAGATGTCTTAATAAAATCCATTCCCTGATCCCTCCTATTTAAAGCACACAGTAGCACACCGTGTGGTTTTAGTCCGTTAGATTCCGACACACCGCCTCATCGCAAATCGCGGTGGGTGATGGCCCGAGGGGGTTTCTACACGTAAAAAAGGCCTATGTCAGCAGTGGACGTCTTTCGGTTGATATGATAATGATATAAAATAACATATGTATAAAAGAGATAATGATACAAACTTTGTATTTCTCATAAACATTGTTTCTGTTGTAAGAGATAATTGTTTTTAATACAATAAAGGAAAACCTCAAGCGCGAAAAGGAAGTAAACAGCTAACTTTGCAATTGTTGTAAAAAGCCTCGTTTCCTTTAACGACTTTGAATAATATTATATACAATAGATAAATGATGACCTCTGATTTGCATGAAGTCGTATACAATTTAGAGGTCAAGCTGTGTGTATCTCTGCTTGAATCAATCGACATGACGTACCTTATTTTTTTTGATAAGTTTTCCATTTCCGTTACCATAATTGGGTTTATTTCTTATAAATTTGATTGTAGTTACTGGACAATTATTATATTTTTGTGCACAAAAAAATAAATATCTTGTGATTAATTCATTTCTTAAAGTTCTTAAAAATGCACTTAATGGAAATGAATATCAGAAAAACTTTGAGTAATATTAAGGAGAGGCCTATGTCCAGCAGTGGACTGTTATAGGCTGTTGATGAAGTCACGATAATTAACTTTTAACTAAGTATTATCGACTTCAATGCACTAACATTATGACGAATTGTAATAAGCTGTATTTTTCATTCCACAACTTTCCACCCTTATTTCAATTTTATTAAAAATATTCCCCAAATCTTACAAAAATTGGAATGGGAACAAACATTCCAAAAATTTTTTTCGAATCGGGTCATAACTGAGTTCTAAGGTAACAAAAATTAAAAGAAATCGCATTGACACCCTCGTACTTTCTTGAAGTCGGTAAACAAATAAAAAAACATTCAGTTAAACCGGGTAGTGGTAAAATTTAAAAGAAAGTGCAGAAATCAAGTAATTGAAAATCGCAGCGTTCGTCTACAACCGAATTCGTCTTTGATTATTATCAAGATAAAACTGTTTGATCAACTTTTTAAAATACTATTTAAAAAGTTGTTTCACATTTACGTTCACCTAATTGGCCAGTTATTGATTTTCGTGTATTTTACTTTCGCCCAATCATTGTATTGCGTAATTCTACAATAGAAGGATTTTAAAACATCATTTGCTAACCAAGTGTTCGTGACCATTTAAGCGTGGAACCGACGCCTGTTGTTATGGTTTTCAGATATTCATGAAATAATGTAGGATTATGAAGCGAGGCCGATATTTATTTTACAATCATTAAAACTAGACAAAATACATTCGGGCTTCAACAATCTCAAACGAATTTATCGAAGTGAGCAATATAGTATTCTCTAAATGCATAGCAATAAATTTTATAACATTTATAAAGTAGACATGTTCATTATAATATCTTACTCAACGAGTCAGTGTGTGTTATTAATGATTAATTTATATTTCTCATCCGTTTAATTTCATACATTTTGGTCACAGAAAAAATCTAAGAGCAAGAAGTCTTATATGCTGGACATATCAAATCCTCGACACCGCCAACAAAAAAAAGACCACGAAGACATATATATTGCTGAATACTGCAACAAGTGGGGTGGAGGACCATCGTGCAGATACTAATAATATTAGTGGAGATCACGACCTTCGGCAATGAGGAACATGACACAAGAAGCAGGAGGATATTCGCCATATTTCTACTAATTTTGCAGTATCGAACCTGTGGTATTTCTTTCAAGTAAAAATAATCCAACAGAATTTACAGGTGTCCGGAGTTTAACCGTTACATTGAAGATCAACGTACAAGTTTATTTTTCCTAAAACGACATTCAGTTGACTTTTTTTCAAACCAGTCTTTTCAATCAACTTTTAAATTGGTTTTATTCAAAAAGTTGTTGTTAAAAAAAAACTAATGCGCAATTCCCAAGCGTGAAAGAAATCTTTCCATACAAGCTTTTAAATGCGTCATTTTTAGGTACGGAAAAGAGCGAGTACGAGCTAGTGGATGCTATTATTGTAACTGTATTCTTGTGTTCTGTTTGTTGACCATTGTATAACAGTTGAGCAACTCAAAGAAAGGCCTGTTATTATAATATGAACATGAGATGTGTATACTTTATCTCAACACTAAAGATGAATGAAAGGTGTCTCTGTTTATATGTGATGTTCAAACAACTACAAACACATTTCAATTTAATATTTATAAGAAAAAAGTGGCGATCTAAGTGGCGTGCAATGGGAGAGGCCTATGCCCAGCAGTGGACTGCGACAGGCTGATGATGATGATGATGAACGAAAAAACTATAAGGTCGAGTTGTAGAAATTTAAGGTTCTCATTTTTTTATATGTAATTTTTCCTTAGAAAATGTTGTATCTACTATGACCGAAATAGAATGGAATAGATAGGTTATTTTTATAGCTACAATCTGCTACAATAATGACAGAAAAAGTACTATCTCTGAATATAAAACCTTGTGTCCTTCGCTTTTCAAAAGAAGGATGTAAGTACAATATGGAGGATTGTCCCTTTGTGTTGTCGGGACATAATACTCGGTCCGTCATACCACAGTGTTCTGAAGTTCAACTCTCGTAATACAAATTCGGTCAAAATTCAGTTCCGATCTACTCTGGATCTCATAAAAGGTCTTTTTGTTATAAAATATTAAACATCCAACGTTGACTGTAACGTGATTATGTCGTTTTGTGACCGAAACTTGAATCGGTAATCTGCTAGTCTTCGTAATACTTTACTATTTTACTACGAAAACATATTTTTCATTAAGAGTAAATCGGAACTGAAATCTGAATGAATTTTTATTAGGGGAATTAATCCACTGGACGTTGCGCTCAATACGAATACTGACTATGTGCGGCAAAACGACGCTTTAAGGACGGCGGCCTGACAGGAATAACACAGCGTAATTGTTAAATGTCACGAGAAACACATACAGACATATGCTCACGTCTTCATCTCCGAAAGGTAGATAGAGACGGCCAGATTTCGCCGACTAATTCTGACTAATCACGATAATTCTGGAAAACATATTTTATTATCTAGAAATGACATCTACTTACATCTTGTCCGGCGATATCGTCCCATTGAACCTTCGGTCCACCTTCAACGATCTCATCCAGTATCAATTGCACCAGCTTAGGGTCCACGCCTCTGACTGACAGCGCTGGTTGCGGGGTCCGACTTCTCGTTGGCGTGCCACGTTGTGAACCGCCGCCGACTACTCGCCGAACCGGAGAGCCGTTGGAAGGAACCTGGTATGCGCTCTGATGTGAGCAAGGATTGTTGTACAAGTTAATGGATGAGTGTTAGCTAGTGAATGATTAGTATGATATGTATAGGTTAAATTTATTAATATATTTTTCTAGTAAACATTCCATTATGTCAGAGATACAACTAAATTACAAAGAAAACTATAGAGATCAGAAGTGTATATTGAAATAAGTTGCCCAGGGCAATGTCACCATATTCAGACTTTCCTAAAGTAAGAATAAGTAGAATTTTCTACGAATGTGATGAGTATTTTGTGGAGCCTTGCCAGTGTACAGAGGTAGGTAACGATTATAAACCGCGACTATCTGCGAACCCTAGGAACTTGCTAAAGCGGTCACGTGCTCTACGCTAAGTATAAAGTCCTAGGATCAACTCGCCACAAGTACATATTGAATTGAATAAAACAAAACATGTTAACATTAAGTAATGTGTAAAAAGTGACTTCAGTAACCAAACAAACAACTTCCTCTTCTCAGAATTAACTATGTGAAACCAGTCGCGCTGCACACTAACTATTTAAATATACGGCAAACGAACGAAATGTTGATAAGGCCTAATTTATTAAATTATGCTGAATTAAAATTGTTAGAAACACACTTATTTTTATATTTATATCATTTTGTGTTTAATTTTAATTTGTCTTGTTTATTTCGTGTTGTCTTGTGTCCTATTTATTTTTATGCACTGTACACTGTACTGAGTTATCGATCAGGGTTTATCCGTAGCATTCATAATATAATGTAATCCACTATAAACCTTTTTAAATAAAAAAATATAAATATATTTACCAAATGTTGAAAGAGGTCATAGCTACTAGACGTATTAATAGACATCAACGAAATAAAATTTAATGTCTGGGAGTAACTTAAGAGACAATAAAAAAAAATGTGTTTTTTGTGTAGATTAAAATATACTGAATACCAAAAGGCAAAAATATGTAAACTTTTTACGATATTTTATTCGGCCAATGTTTACGTTAGCTGGTTCAGCTTCTACCATTGAAGTTAGTAGTAAAATGGGCATATGAATTAAATTTTAGAAAGGAGATCAAATGAATTAATGAAATTCAAATGAGTGAAGATGGTAATTAGTGATAAAGTAACATTCGGATGATAATTAAGTATAATGTATGACCCATTAAAAAAATTGCCAATTAGAAAATGTTACATGTGATTTGCATGCAAAATTAAATAACATAATAATATATAATAATAATAATATTTTCGGACGTCTAACACACAACGCCATCTAGTTTCAAACTAAGCAGAATTTGGTGTGCGTTACCCCAGCAAAATAATGTCGAAAATGGTCATTTAAACGTTATAGATAATTAGTTGCTCCCCTTCTGTAATTGTTAGGCACATTTTTAAATTTGTTTCTCTTAAACTTTTTTAGTTATTTCAAAAAAACATTTCCTGCTGGGGTAACGTTTGAAACGTTACCGCAGCCAGACATTTTCTTTTTTAATTGTAATATTGAAATAAATTTTAGCTAGATAATTAGTTATCTGGACTAGGTAAATGTTACAATTTATTTGGTATTTGTATTTTCTTCGGCTGCGAAGTTATTCGAAATCCTGCTGGAGTAACGTTTGTGGGTTTGCTGGATCTCTGAAACGGGTAAGCGGATTGTAACCATCTTTTGTACATAACTTCTTAAGGATTAGTTTTAATTTGTTCGACAATAAAATAACAAAAATAATGGACCGTTTAAAAATTATTTAGGTAAGTATGAAAACACTTCAATACGTCCTAACACTTTAAATAAGACCTCTAAAGACTTACTTCAAACGTTATTCCTTTGCTTGTAACTACCTTCAAATGTATACGAATTTTCGTAAGAATACTATAAGTGACTAAAAAGTTATGATGAAATGTAGCTCTCCACGTTCACGATCACAATGTGTGCGGCCTTTTTTGGCCACCGATAAACCTGTGTGTGGATATATAAACTGAATGTTATGCCAATAATTAGTTGTTTAGTTCAGTTGTCTACCTGTAGAATTTCAGCGTCGTACATATAATAATTTACGAGATAATTAAATAAAAGTCATTAGAAGGTGCAAGTCCGTGGTAATCCGACCATGTTTGGGTGGTTACAAAAAAGCGATCACCCAGTCTATTGGGCTGTCTTTTAAAATGTTTAGTGTAATACACCTTACGATTTCGGTACAGTTGCGTACAGTGTTAAATACATTCAATATTTATTCATTATTATTACCTATTATTTATTTTGTGTTTTTCCCCAATTGATCTTAAGCACTAGTTTCTTTACTTAAAATTTCTTTAGTCTTTTTTACTACCGGAGCTACAATCAACAGAAAATCTGCACTGGTCCGCTAAAATTATAAATATGTAGATACATGTATGAACGATTCACCTTACTGCAATAAATCGAAAATTTAAACCAATAAGAAATCGTTTCATTTCTTTGATTTTTTTTTGTAAAGAAATAACACTAAAGTAATTGTATTTTATTTTGGGTGTATAGAGCTTAGACTTGAATGCATCCAAATATTCAAAGCAACAAGTCATCTACAATAAGTTAAAATAGACCGAATAGTAGAAGAATACAGTTGTAAATTAGAATGCATCAACATTGCATCGCCCAACAGTCGTATACCTCGTAAGAGTAGGTAATATTGTTCTGTAGTCTATACCGAGAACCGAGAATTATCTATACCTATGTACCTACCGTTAAGCGTTGAGCCCGTGACTGTTGATTTCTGTTAAAAACGAACAGTTGTTGAATGATATTTTGATATAATAACGGTAATTTAATTTATCGAGTGAAAGTGATACATTTTTATAGATAAAATTATTGGTCAGATAATATTTGTCAATCAAGAATCGCTGATAATACATCCTTCGCTAGAACGCGGGAGGGGAGGGGCGAAGGGATACTTCATTGTTTGCAATTTGCATCTAGTGCACTAAACTTGACCCTTAGGCAGATAATATACGTGTTGTAAAGTACGTGTGCGCTTCCGCTTTCTATTTTTGCAAATATTTATCGTATTCTTGAGAGTTCTTCAATATGTATGTACCTAATTACTAATAATGGGCATTAATGCTAATTCGATTCAATTTAAGTAATTGTCAATTCTTGTCTTAGGATATTAATTACTAATGCTAATATTGAAATTTTGTTCAGGGTGAACCAATTAGTACCAGGGACTTCCTTTCTAGGGTATACCTGGTTCCCCGGCTATTAGTACCCGAGACGGCGTGCGGTTTTAGTCGGTTCGAGTCCGACATGCCACCGAAAGGTGGTATCCGAGGGGATTTCCGAACGGAAAAAAAAAAGGGTGAACCAATTAAAAACGATCATAACTTGTAGGTAGGTATATCACTTATTACTAATTTTATATAAATAAATTATTTTATTATAATTTAACTCACCGCGATTTTGTGATCAAATATTTTATTTTCTCCAACATTATTACAGAAATATTGCAATACAGAGTTTGTTCGCGATATGCTAGCCTAAGTCAATTCATCACTTAAAAAAATCCCCATCTATTCACAAAATACCTATTTACAACGCATACGTTACACTCTTCAAAACTTAAATTACCTATACCTACCCTAAAATTAAACTTCAATTAACAAATACTACGCAGGTACCAATTCTATGAACAACTATAAACAATTCACCTTAACATTACGAGAAAACAAAAGCATTCAAAACAATACCTAATCTCCCGGCTGATTACTAATTATGCAATAAACAATTCTAAATAAAAATTATTTAAAAAACATGTAGTTTTTTGTAACACTTATGTACATATCCGTAGTAAACTTGCAAATAATATCCTACATATTTTAAAAGCCAGCACAATGTACTGGGTGATCGCTTTTTTGTAACCACCTAAACATGGTCGGGTTACCACGGTCTTGCACCTTCTAATGACTTTTATTTAATTATCTCGTAAATTATTATATGTACTACGCTGAAATTTTACAGGTAGACAACTGAACTAAACAACTAATTATTGGCATAACATTCAGTTTATATATCCACACACAGGTTTATCGGTGGCCAAAAAAGGCCGCACACATTGTGATCGTGAACGTGGAGAGCTACATTTCATCATAACTTTTTAGTCACTTATAGTATTCTTACGAAAATTCGTATACATTTGAAGGTAGTTACAAGCAATAGAATAACGTTTGAAGTAAGTCTTTAGAGATCTTATTTAAAGTGTTAGGACGTATTGAAGTGTTTTCATACTTACCTAAATAGTTTTTAAACGGTCCATTATTTTTGTTATTTTATTGTCGAACAAATTAAAACTAATCCTTAAGAAGTTATGTACAAAAGATGGTTACAATCCGCTTACCCGTTTCAGAGATCCAGCAAACCCACAAACGTTACTCCAGCAGGATTTCGAATAACTTCGCAGCCGAAGAAAATACAAATACCAAATAAGTTGTAACATTTACCTAGTCCAGATAACTAATTATCTAGCTAAAATTTATTTCAATATTACAATTAAAAAAGAAAATGTCTGGCTGCGGTAACGTTTCAAACGTTACCCCAGCAGGAAATGTTTTTTTGAAATAACTAAAAAAGTTTAAGAGAAACAAATTTAAAAATGTGCCTAACAATTACAGAAGGGGAGCAACTAATTATCTATAACGTTTAAATGACCATTTTCGACATTATTTTGCTGGGGTAACGCACACCAGAATTTGTACTATGAAAGCTAGATTGGCTCATACAATACTTTTATACTTTTTGTAAATACATACATACTATACATAGAAATAACCCAAACTCCGAAACAAATATTTGCAGATCATGCAAACATTTGGTCCGACCCGGGAATCGAACCCGAAACCTCAGCACAGCAGTCGCATACGCTGACCACTGCACCACCGAGGCAGCCAGACATGGAAACAATATTATATTGTCTATTATTAGTCTAAAAGCATCTGCATTTAAAAAATATTATTTTATGAATTTCTTCCACGTATAGTGATTCTTCATTTTTTTTTAAATATTTTTTGATATACTGGACGCACACGATCAGGCGCGGCTCACCTGATGGTAAGTTATTAATAGACATGGGACCAAATCACAGTGAACTGTAATTTATCATTAGATTTTTGCGTACGTAGGTTAATTAGGGCTGCTAGGTAAGTAGGTTAAAAGCTATTTAACAGTAAATCTAGTTTTTTTTTTTTTTAATTATGTAGGTAATGGTAGCTATATATAATAAAATAATTACTAGATTTACTGTTAAATAGGCGAAATAGGATTTATATGAATCGTCTGAAAGCTTTTTGGTAACAACGCCTAAGTAGTAACCCAAACCTACGTACGAAGAAATAGAATGATAAATCACCGTTCATTCACAGTTCACTGTGATTTTGTCCCATCCATAGTGACTAGCGCTGCCCATAGACACTTGCAACTTAAGAGTTACGAGTACGCTGCCGGTCTTGAAAGCTTGAAGGTCTTTTTATATTTACTGCATCAATGTTATTTCAATAACTTTTTTAAATCTCAATTTGCATACATAAAATAATTAATTCATTTCGTGGGTGTCGTAGAAGCAGACGTAAAAATTGTACATGTCAGGGGTGCCTTTTTATCATCTTATTTTATTAAAGTTAGTTAAAAATGTGTTACACTCCGATATCTTTGGACAATGTGCGATAAAAACATACTCACAGATAGTTGTCTTTTCACAGCTGGCGGTGTAGACACTGGCTTCATTGGGTATCTATTGTAACCCCCGTTGGTATTGTTAGGTTGTGACGAAGACCTGCCCATTGACCTGGGCAGCGTTTGGGACTTCATAAGCGGCCCGCCCCCACTGCTTGGTACCCTTCGACCGGCTGTCGTGAGCTTGCGGCCTGCGACTGAAGATCAGATTATTAGAGACAAAAAAGTTGAATAATATTGTTTTAAAAATAAGGTTAAAATAATACCTACTTAGGTATAAATTAGGCGTTATGCAATAAGATATTTTCCTACGGTGAAAATAATGTTCAAAATTGAAAAATGTTTAAAGTACAATTAGACGTGAAAAGAGTTTAATATATTTGCCTACGCCTTCGGGATGCAAGTGAGAATGCATGGAAGCATGCATGTGTGAAGAACGTATGACGTCATAACAGTCATTAACTGTTATTTTTATTAAAGTTAAGAATACATTATTGTGAACGCAGAACGCATTATTGTGACGTTTTGTGAAGAAAAACTGACATGACTTCAGAGTTAACCATCGTATTACAATTAACGATGACAATGAAATAACTGTAAACAACTGTGTCGATTCGGACTAAGTGAATGTGAATGTTGTCGATTTGCGATAAATAAGCCGTGGGACCATCTACTTCGAAATGCTACCCGGATATTCGATTATATGATGATAATTTCAGAGTTCAACTAGAAATGCAAATCATATTGACGTATAATGATTAAATAATAATCGAACAACTTGATAATCTAAATGTTTTAAAGCACTTTCTAAGCTTACTTAAAACCTTTTAAGAGACGTAAGCTTTTACATTAAAAAAAAACGAAATCTTTGGCAAAATAATAACATATTATTAAAATAACTTATTCTAGCTAGATTTTTGGATTCCGCTTTTCCGCAAACATAAAAAAAAGATTATAAATCATAAGTTTTAACCGACTTGTAAAAAGGAGAACGTTTTCCTTTTTGAACATACTTAATTATTATCTCATATTTCCACACACAGAATAATTCGAACGGAGTTTCATAATATATCTTATTGGTTTACACGATGCCGAAGTTTTCACAAATACACGTCGCAATAAAGTATAGAAGAGTCGTTGTTTTAATACACATACACATCTTAACAGCTTCCCTTTGTTGCAATGGCTGATGACTATTTATATTGTTTAAGTTACTTGTTAATAAAAGACTAATTGTACTTATGATTCTGTAAATTGCAGTCAATGTTAAGCTAGGTGCTTTTTTTTACACTAGCGGTCGCTCGGAGGTCCTACAATCGATCCTAAGTCAGGGTAGGAAAATCTTTATATATTTATTAAAGAAAACGTCACACGTCACCGACGTAAGTGGGTGACGCATCATACGTTGTAACAGGACATTATACTCCTTAAAATAGCCACCCCCCTCCCTACAAATCAACTAGCAGGGGCATCCCGGAAACACCGTGAGTAAAACAGTTCCGTCTTCAGGAAAATTTAAACTCTCACGAAATTTTCAAAGTTTTTATTATGAAAACAACAAGAAGTTCGTCAACAACTAGATCTTTAAGGAAAGAACAACTACAAAGATGAGAAAGGTGTTACTAAAATGTTTTGTCCTTATCTAAATAAGTAAGTATTTATATACCACTGCACCGACAAACGAAAAATGATTCAAAATTATCTGATAATACGTGAACATAAATTAATGTTCCTTTAAATCTTTAATAAAATTTAAGAAAAATGCTCATATTTTTACAGCTTCCATTATTCTGCTAAACACTTGAGTCCATACTTCACATATGACGTTGAAATATTATTATTTAACAGTGTTCATTACAAATGGTAGTTAAAAGTTACATTTTTGTAACTAATAGATACTGTCAGTAACAATGACGGGGCGATATTAGATAATAAAACCGTCTATTCAACAGCAATTTTCCTCGTAATTTAAAAGTATTTAATTATAGACATAAACATAAACCTATTGAGATTTTATAACTATTTTGTCCGGTCTCTTATTGGTTTCTGGTTACACTGCGTGGGGTGCTTTTCATGATATTTTATAATAAAATAAGTTTACTTTTACCGATATCTATCAATAAAATGTTTTTACAAAAATTAAGATCTACCACTACACGCATTTTTAAGACAAAAGGATTTTTCTTTTTGAACTTGTAGAAAATTAGTTTCTACTTTTTAGTTCGTTACCAAATCGTGTTTTATATTATAACTAGCTGACCCGCGCAACTTCGTCTGCGTCTCTCAATAGTAATAAATTTTCTCCGTTTTTGAAACATTCTTCATTGGTGCTCCGCTCCTATTGGCCTTAGCGTGATGTTATATAGCATATAGCCTTCCTCGATAAATGGGCAATCTAACACTGAAAGAATTTTTCAAATCGGACCAGTAGTTCCTGAGATTAGCGCGTTCAAACAAACAAAGAAACTCTTCAGCTTTATAATATTATAGTATAGATTTATTATAGATACCGATTTATTTCACAGAACAAATTGCATATATTACACTTAGTTAACGGTGAATAACCAAGGATATGTCTACACGTTTATGAAGTTTCCCCTTGACTCAGTTTCACACAAAAGAGCGTATGTAATACTTGTGTCACGCAACTTTTATTGTGTGTTGTTGAATACGTATTTAAAATATTCAATCACTACATTATGTGTCCAGGAACAAGGAACTTACTGTTGTGGATATTTTTGTTAAAAACATACACAAATACTCGCGACTTTATAGGTAAAGGTTAGCCCTTTGACGCCAGTCCAGAGGCGTACTGAACGCCACTATTTTGTTGACTCCAATTTTGGTATTGGCCAGTATTGTCCAATAGGCAAGTATTGTCATCAACCTGGAGTATTTTAAAAGAAAAAGAAGGTAAGGCGATTATAGGAAGGGGGTTATTGCTTAAATGAATGGCCTGTAGAGAACGCAAGCATCTGCAGGTCATAGTTCCATACTTGTAACTCGAGCCCTCTAACCAAAGAACCAAGGAGTTTGAACTAAGAACAATTAAGCTTTATAGAAAATTACGTAATTGTCGCTATAGATTTAACTCATACTATGATGATCTTGAATCTTAAAAATAGTTTATGTAACGTACGCATTATTAGTTTCAAGACTTGATAATAAGATCACTTCAAAATTATTCTGCCTTTGTATGATGAAGTGTGAGTATGTATATATATCTAAAGTTTTACAGGTCAAATAGCTTGGGTAACAAAATACCCTCCTTTAAAACAACAACGTAAAGTGTCCTTGTATGTATATCTACTGTATTATGTAAATTATATCACAACACACTAATTTTAAAAACATATTGTATTTCATAAATTTGAATATCTTATAGATAGACATTGAGTTTTGCGAAATTAAGTATATGACCGTACTCTATGGAATGCAATAAAAATACTTTTAAATTCAAGTCAAAGAGGAAAAGCAAAATAATACTGAAAGAATATAGCGCTATAATAGCGAATAATAGTGATAATTTAAAAAAACGTCTGCGTGAAAATGCATAGGTTGACTTGAAACTTGAAATTTACAAACCAGTGATTTTAATTTTTTTAAATTGCCACATACCTATTGTCACTCACAATTAAGACGAACCTAACGACACCTCAAACGCCAAAATCTATCAAGTGGTTTAGGCTGTGTGCCAAAGAAATATAACACATTCACACATACACTCCAACACCATAACGCCTCCCCACCTTCTAGTAACTCATCTTCAAGTAAAAATACATAACAAGTGACATGGTATAAAAAGTGAAATGAGTAAAATGAAAGTAAAAAGTTAATGTATGCAGTGCGCACCCATTAAGGCATCACTAGCACCCACAAGAAAGCTGTTTTTTGTTTCATTTAACTACTTTGGCAAATGAGCATACAGCCCTGATAGTAAGCGGTTATCAGTGCCTTTATGTAACCTTGAACTGGAGCTTTAATGACCCTATTCGCGTTAGCGGTGTAGTGAGAATATAAGTAACCAATACTTAAATGTTATTTATAAAGGCGATGTTACCTAGTCCTAACTTTGATTTGAAAAAGAAAAAAGACATTCACTAAATCTTATGTACTCACGTACTCCGTTCATCAGATCGTCATAAGAATTTTCAAACAAGTTCTTTAGGTTTGTTAAAGAAAAAGAGCCCTAGTTCTACTAAAGTCGATTCGGCGGACCTTCTGATCTCATGGCGTATATTTTTTAATTTAATCAAATCATTACGAAATTTGCATTTTTTACGTATTTTGTTTTTCATAGGATTATTTTAATAGAGAAACTACAATGCGTGCATTGAGTTTTTAGTCTTAGCGCGTTAACGTTCTGTTTCAAAGGCTCTATCACCTGTGTATCTATAAGTAAATTTTATTTATCATTTTATACTTCAATATGAAAAAGATGGAGTAATATTTGCAGATGTTTTTAACTAATCTGGGAGCTTTTAAAAACTATTGCAATACTACGTAACGAATTATAGAGTCTAACTCTATAGGTATCTAGATATGTTTACATATAGTAACAATTATGTTCAATAATATATAATTTATTACTAACTCGTGCGAATTATAATAATGAACGCGAAATAATGTGCTTCATAAGCATTGAGTTCCTACGAATTGCCCGAGGTTTCGACCTGGGCCTCAATTCTGCTATTTTATGTTAACGCCAAGCCACTGTCATTCCATTGACTCGCTATTGAGACGCCATTGACATCGGTCAAAATATCAGTGTTCTACTAACATAAATTCAGTGTCAATAGACTGTCGATATAGTAATATAGATCATCAATGGTGCTGGAAAATTAAGTATATCATTTTCGTACAAATTTAAAATCTACCGTTTACCAAACTGTTACAAAGACATCGTCGACATTTGTCTCAGTGACAAGTCATCGAGAGCCATTCGTCTTACATAGTTAGAAGAATAGGAAAAGTGCAAAACTGTTCCGACGACATTTCATCGACAGTCTTTTAATACAATTTTAAAATAGCAGAATTCAGGCCCGGGTTGCACAGACCGTGGTCACAGGTATGAAAAATGGCAACCATTTTAAATTTGTGAGTTTTTTAAGTTATTTATCTCATTTATCAAACGTTGGGGAGGCGAGGGGTGGGGGCGAGGGGGTTGTAAAGCGGGTAGGGTCAAAACAGCAGAGTG